TCAGCAGGACAAGGGAAAGCTGAAAGGAAATTTTTACAAGGGTTTTGGGGACTTGAGAATTCTGCATGCATGACTAAACTCCCACTGATATACTATGTCACAACACCCAGGTATACCAGTTGTCTGGCTGTGGTAGGACACACAAAATCCACTTAATCCTAACTTACTTACAACTTATAATGTTATGAGTTACAGCGAAACAGAGATAGATGTTCAAATTTGATATTTTTATCCACTCTTCCAGGAGTTCTGTAAGACAAATCCATTTGCGAGACACTGACTGGCTTAATTATGGGATCAAATATTGGCTTAATTATGGGATCAAAGCCCAACAGAGCACACATGAAGTGACGTGTTCTTGAAATATTTTTTATGATAAAGAATTTTCAAAATGCCTCATACTACTTCTATCACCACCCTGCTGTGACAATGTTTAATAAGACCTTTGGATTGCAGACCACAGAGAAGGCGGCAGCCACAGGTCTTGAGCCCCTCAGAGTAAGCAAGCTGAGGGCCCCTCGCCCCCAAGGGCAGGTGGCAGGTCACTGTCACTGGCAGCCGGGAGGCTGCAAAGGATGTGCTCGAGGATTCATGGGAGCTGAGCTTGGCCACTTCCTAGCTGTGTGACTCCTGAGAAGCGTCTACCCTTAACCTATAGAATAGAAGACTATTTACCACGCCCTGGCGGTTTCCGAGAGTCAGCTGAAATCGTAAATGTGTATGGAGAGACAAATTGATATCATTTACTTCTAACAACAACACGTGACAGACTGGGCATCCTCAACACCTCGACAAGCAGTTATGACGAAGTAAAACTAAAATTTAGTGAAAGGTAACGAACGACAAGTAAAGCGCATCATTTAGGATCAGAAAGCCCACCGTGCAGCACAGAACTGGAAGGTATTTTTTCTATCACCCCAAACTGCACATGCTAAATCACAGGTGGGTCAGGAGAGAATGTCTCTCCCCTGCAAAGCAGAGAATTCTCTGCAGTCTGATCGGACTGGGAGGCCATACATAACACCCCTTCTTGGCCACCTCTGGATTCCTGGCTCTTCACCCATGGCCTGAACCACTGCAGGCTCCCGATACATGGTTTCTGGTTACCTTCCCATTCAGCCCTAAGAGGCAGAAGTTCCAGATCATCTCGTTTGCTATGCTTTACAAAATACAGCCTACTTCCTTCTGAGGTAAATTACTGCAGGTGTGAGATCACGGGCTTCCATAAATCTACATAGGGGTTTTCTTTTGACGCGAGCATAAAATTCTCTTAATATTCCCAGCAAAATATATGAGCCTAGAAAGCTTACATTTTTCCAGTGTCTGCTTTCCTGCAACCATATACTTCACCGAATCCTCCTCGTCCAATAATCCTATGTACGCTGAAATCATTCATGGTCAACTGTGAATTCAAAATGCGACATGGAAACGTAAAACTGCATAAAAATTATGCTGTTGTTTTCATGTAAAACATATACAGTTATTAAAATAGCGATTCAGATACACCTGCCCTTTCCGTGACTGGTCCCTCAAACTGAGAGGTGAGAAGCACAAGGTGGCAGGACATTCTAGAAGCACCTTCTACGCAAACTGCACAGAATGCACACCACGGGAGGCAAATGGGAAGATGACACAGTGGTAGCCGAGTCAGATTGGTTTTCCGATCTCATAAATCTTATATTGGACGATGTACGCTTTGAAGACAAGTGAATGTGAAATTTCCACTCAAAACACAAAGCAACGTCAGCTACTCTGAAGTCTAAAGTTTGGGAACAGTTCAGCAAAGGCCAGGAACATAATGGTAGAAAAACAGGTCCACGTCAAGGCCATCTATGTTTTCCTAACTGTGGGCCATGTGATCAGAAAGCCCAACAGATGCTGGCCGTGTGAATGTTTTATCAATAACGTCAGTGAGTAGAGAGGACTCATGCTGGGCATGTGAGCATGAAACCAGACCAAGTGCGAGTAACTCTATGAAGAGGCTTTATTCATAAGCACTTTGTCAGTATCATCCCAGCAGTGCCCTGCTCCCTAAGCAGTTTTCATGGCATTAGACGGTACAAAGGCAGACAGATAGTCCTATGTTCGTGGTAAGAGGCCATCAGATAACAGCAAATGCCTACTAGTTTATGTATCCTGGCAAATGAAAGGTCAGATGCTTGAAGGGTTTCCTGCAGCCGGGGAGGGGCATCTGGCCCACTGGCTTCATGTTTGGTGCTCAGAGGACGTGAGGACGTGAAGACGTGAGGACACCACGTCTGCTAAAGGAACTCAAGCACAAGGAAGATCCACAGCAGATATAAGGGATTTTTTTTTGGCCGTGCTGCGGCACGCCACAGCAACAGACCAGGGATCGAACCCATGCTCCCTGCAGTGGAAGCGTGGAGTCCTAACCACTGGATCACCAGGGAAGTCCCAATAAGGGGTTATTTTTAAAAATGTGTCACTGCCTCTTGCTTCTCAATCCTGCCAGGAAATGGGGTGGAGAGAGGAGGTTAAAAAGAAGAAGGGGCTTCCCTGGTGGCGCAGTCGTTGGGAATCTTCCTGCCAACGCAGGGGACATGGGTTCGAGCCCTGGTCTGGGAAGATCCCACATGCCGCAGAGCAACTAAGCCCGTGAGCCACAACTACTGAGCCTGCGCGTCTGGAGCCTGTGCTCCGCAACGGGAGAGGCCACGACAGTGAGAGGCCCGCGTACCGCGATGAAGAGTGGCCCCCGCTCACCGCAACTGGAGAAAGCCCTCGCACAGAAACGAAGACCCAACACAGCCAAAAATAAATAGATTAATTAATTTTTTTTTTTTTAAAAAAAGAAGAAAAAACCCACTTCTTCCAATAGCACTGCTGAAGTAAAAAACTAAAAAAAAAAAATCCAGTTATTTCTTTTTCTCAATTGCTAACCTATGTGAAGGGAGAGCACGAAGGAAAGGGGAAGAGAAACGCACTCTCTAAAAGCGAAGCAAAGAACATGCCCTAGAATTACTGACAGTGAAAAGCTAACAGAAGATACAATGCTAAGGGGTTAATGTCAGAAAGTAGCCTGTCTTTGAGGACTGCTTTTATCATTCTCAAAATAACAAAAAAGATGAAACTGTGGTCTAGTAAAAGATGTCGTCATGTTTATTATTACATCACTGCGCCTAAGAATAAGAAGAAAAGGAACTTTACCAAGACGGCATGAGGCGCCGGCAAACGGGAATCACATTACGTAGAAGACTTGTATTTTTACAACTACTTCTGTTAAAGGGTCGGTTACCGCTTAAAATAACCATTCTTAAATGAATAAACACATTCTTACACAAATATGAGAAAAGAGAATTAAAATTCAGAGTGTTTACAATCGGGTATAGGAGGATGGAGCTTTCATGCATAACGCCATAAGCACGACATCTGTTTGGGTAGCGTGTTACCCTTGGGAGTATGCTGCCGAATAAAATATTTTCTCACGAAGCTGAGCCAGAGGAAATTTTTATTTAAAAAAAGAAAGGCAAAGATGATACTCACATGGATATTTAATTCCACGTTTTTCCACTGACAAAATCTAGTGAACTTGTCACTGAAAAAGAACGTAAGGAATTACTGAAAAGTTAAATATCGAGTTAACGGAGAAACTGGAATTGTACTGCCTGTGTTGCTTCTCAAACGGAGTAAGTTTTCCTGACCATTTTTTCCACAAAGGATTCACCTGGTATTTAAGGCCTTATTTTATGATTCAAATGGAAGCCTTTGTGTTTCTCCTTTAATTGTCATTATGCTGTGGTAACATCTTTATCTGAGTCAGCGCTGTCCAACAGGCGGGTACCAGAAGCTGCGCACGTAATTTAATTTTAATAATATATTTTATTTCAACCAATATATCAAAAAATTATCATTTCAACATAAAATTAAATCAAATCAATATACAATTTTAATGAGATAGTCTACATTCTTGCTTTTCTATGAAGTCTTTGAAATCTGGTGGGTATTTGCCCATCTTAATTCAGACTAATCACATTTCAAGAGTTCCACAGCTACACGTGGTCAGTGGCTACCATACTGGACAGTGCAGCTCTCAATGACAAAAAAATTGCTGTTCACAAATAATTAGAGGGGTAGCAAATATAATACCTAAATAGTGCTTATCATGCCCCAGGCCCTGTTCATCTACTCCTCCAACAACTCCGTGATCAGGTACCGTCATGATGCCCAACTTACAGCCAAGACCACCTGAGCTTGCCCAAGGTCACTCAGAGAGAGAATGGGTGGAGCCGGATTTGAACCCAAACCAATGTCTGCCTCACAAAGATGCAAACAGTGCAGGAGAGAAACCCTCAGACGAGAATCGCAAGATGGAAATCATACTGCACTGATAAACTCCCAGTTCACTCAACTGCTGGAGGAGTGTTTTTTTCATCCATGAAGTAAGAAATGTATCTATCCCATTAATAAAGGCATGACTGGGATTATTTTTTATTAATGAGCAACATATCTAAAAAATGTTTGCTTTTAATTTTTTTTTCAGAAGAAATGCATTCTGGATTGAATACTCCTTAAAAGCAAAGAACATTTCTGGTGATTGCTGGACTTCATCTAGCCCCTGGCATGATTCCTTAAATAGGAATGGTATTCAGGGTTCTATGAAGGAATGAATGAATTAAAAAAGGAAGAAAGGGAAGGAGAGAGAAAGGCAGGAAGAGAGGGAGGGAGTTCTTATGAAGTGCAAGTTACAGGTATTATCAGCACTATAATACGATGCCTTAAGGCATCCAAATATCCCAAGTCCCTGGGGGTTTCATCTAATACGCCTTCTAAGGATCTTTTAAAAATATTTCTGAGGCTAATAATCAAATTAAGAATTAAAAGCAGAAGAACTCTTGTAATTACATAGCATCTTTCTCCAGTGACTCTGAAATGACTTTTAAAGAGTGTTTTTCATTGATCCTCCTAACATCTCTATGAGGTCGGTAAAATAAATTTTGAGCTTCTGAGAGTTATTTCAAAGAGTTTTTTTAAAAAGCATGGTGAGTGCAAAAGGTGAAACCACACTGGGGTGAATAAATCCATGACTCTGAAATCACTTGGTGTGTGAGGCTAGCGCACACCCTGCCTTCTTACGGATTCTGGAGTTCAGAGACGGCAACGGAGGTGGGGGTCGGGGGGTGGGGTGGGATCTGTCACATTTTATGAACTTGCAAACTAGCTGGGGAAGGTAAACAACCAGGGAGAGAGGAGTGGCCCTGCTGGCCAAGAGAAGAGTCGAGGAGAATCAACTCCCAACCCATACCCTGCGCCAAAAGAACACACACTCCACCAAAAAATAAGAACAGATATTTTGCCCATTAAATACGATAGCAAGTCCTTCTTTAGAAAGTACAGACGGCTGCTGGGTGTCCTGGCTGTCGTGTGCCCACGGGGTTCCTTGAGCTCCATTCCTAGGCAATATCTAGTCACTAGAATGGGCACTTCTGGATGGGGAGGAGGAACCGGGGCTGAGAATAGGGCAGAGCCTGGGCAGCACAGGGCTTCAGAGCCAGAGCCCTTGCAGGTGACTTAACTGCCGCCTCGGAGGGAAGAGCAGGGGTGAAAGACACAAAGACGACTGGGGCAGGGCGAGGGTGAGCAGAACGAACGTTTTTAACTATAACCCCTGACATGGGCTTTAGATTACTGAGCAATCTGATGTTTACTGCTGAAGCGAGGCTCACCAGCCGCACCCAGAAGAGGGAAAGCCTCCCTCTGGGATTCAGCCCCACTGGGAACTTAACCCCGTGTCCCTGCTGGGCCTCAGGAGAAGGTGGAGAGGCAGGCTCAGCACTGCTGAAGACGTCCTCTTTTTTTTTTTAATTTAATTGAAGTATAATGGATTTACAGTGTGTTAATTTCTGAACAGCACAGTGATTCAGTTATACACATATATATTCTTTTTCATTATGGTTTATCACAGGATACATGTGATATATATTCATTATATATTCATTATGGTTTATCTAGTTCATTATTCATTATGGTTTATCTAGTTTCCTGCTATACAGTAGGACCTTGTTGTTTATCCATTCTCTATATACTAGTTTGCATCTGCTAACCCCAAACTCCCAGTCCAACCCCTGCCCCACCCCGCCTCCCCCTTGGCAACCATAAGCCTGTTCTCTACATGAAGACTTCCTCTTTACCTCTCTACTCTCAAACTGCAGTGTGGCCACCAAGAAAAATCACCTGAACCGTGAGGCCCTCAGAGAACACGGCCAGTCCTGACGATGCTGAAGTCTACAAGGGTCTATTTATGGAGTGCCTGTGCTTTTCAAAACCCAAACTCTGGACTTCCCTGGTGGCGCAGTGGTTAAGAATCCGCCTGCCAATGCAGGGGACACGGGTTCGAGCCCTGGTCTGGGACAACCCCACATGCCGCGGAACAACTAAGCCCGTGTGCCATAACTACTGAGCCTGCGCTCTAGAGCCCGCGAGCCAAAACTACTGAAGCCTGCAGGCCTAGAGCCCGTGCTCCACAACAAGAAGCCACCGCAATGAGAAGCCCGCGCACCGCAATCAAGAGTAGCCCCCGCTCACCGCAACTAGAGAAAGCCCGCGCGCAGCAACGAAAACCCAACGCAGGCAAAAATAAATAATAAATTAATTATTTAACAACTAAAAAACCCAAACTCTAAACTCTTGGCCTGACAATGGATTCTTTTACTGTTAATTTGATAATGTATTAACATAAAAAGAACCAAAAAATAATATATACATATATAAATGAACTGACTTTAAAAATAATTCATTTATATAAAACGGTAACAGTTTAAGAAAATCCAGTGTGCATGCTTGCCTAAAATGCAAACAGCTTCACTTGTATTTCCTGTGGTGATAAGAGTGAATGGCTAGTGGGAGGAGGCTGGGAGAGGGATGGATTAGGAGTCTGGGTTTAACAGATGTTAACTTTTACATGGAGGATTGATAAATAACAAGGTCCTACTATATAGCACAGGGAACTATATTCAACATCCTGGGATAAACCGTAATGGAAAAGAATATGAAAAAGAATGTGTGTGTGTGTACATATATACATATATAATTGAGTCACTTTGCTGTACAGCAGAAATTAACACTGTAAATCAACTATACGTCAACAAAACTAAAAACAAAAAAACCCACAGTGAATGGTTAACTCAGTGGGAGAAAATGACGGTGCAGGTTTACCTGGTGGATACACAATGGAGTTAACAAGACCTCTTCCCCGATTTTAATTACCATCCCCATTTCTCCCCTCTCCACCAGGGATCATATAACAGTGAGGTTGACCCAGGAGTTTGGGAAAAGTCAGATTTTAGAACCAACAGCAGTGGAGACGGCCCAGGACTTGGTTGAGTCTCACCCCTGGGCCGGCATCCTATCCCCTCAGTTTGATTCCAGGGCTTTTTGGCAAAGCCTCCGCTCCTACTCAGAAAAATGTAATCATTTGTATGCAGATTCATTTCCTGAAGTATTGACTCTACTCCAAGATAAAATTATCTCTTGAACTCTGGTAGAATCATGACACAACTTTTTTTATTTTATTTTAATTATTTTAGTTCTATGAACATGTGGCGAAAAAAAGAAAACTGCACTTTAGTATCTTCTCTTAAAGGGCAACTATTGAACAGCTGCAGGCTGCTCCGTCGATGAGGCACGGTCATCACGACAACTGTCTAGAAATTAGCCGAGTTTATGGAGAAAAGTACAGTCAGTGTGAATGCAGACTGAGTGTTAGAAAGTCCAGTTCCAAAGGTGCATCATCATAGAGGCACACTCAAAATACTGAAGGATTGACTCTTAGGTGCCTGAGAAGCATGTGAACACTTTTATAGGCATTACCGAAAATTTTCAGAATTTTATAGGACAGACATACCCTATAGCTTGAGTAACCCAGAGGGACGTATTTATCGGGTACATTAATGATATATATGACTACAGACATTTGCCGATACTTAAATTCTACTCCGTAAAGAATCAAGAGAAGGCTTGTCTCACTTTGAAGGATATGATTTCAACATATAAACAAATGAATTAGACATAGACTCGTGCTTGCATTAGCAAAGTTGTCCCAATAAGATACTTTTAATTGTGAGGTTCCTTAGCCTATTTAAATTTTGGACCATTTGGAAGCTAAAGAACTAAAGGTCAACGGGATGTTAAGATATACAAATCCTAAATTATAAAGTACAGAGGAAACAATCGAATGCAAAGCCTGGCACATAGCACATGGTCAATAAATGCTTGTTGAATGAATAAATTAACACATTTTAAGGACAGCACTTATTGGGTAAAATGAGGTACACCTACACAGTACAAGATCTTATCAGTATAAATACAATGATATATAACTAAGATAATGTTACACGTCAAATATATCTCTATTAAAAAAAACATTTTATACATATAGTTTCATACCTTTCCATGAATTTTTGAAAAATGCTGCCTCGAAGACTTTCACAAATTTCTTCTATGTATGGCTGGAAAGGATGGAAAAGAAATTCCACACTGTATCAGTAAGAACATAATAAAGTGAAAAACAGAAAAGGATGAGACTCACACGAGGTGAGGCTCCAAATTACGTGCTCCCAACAGCACCTTGTACTCGCCCTTCGCAGCCTTGTCCAATTTTCACCAGTGGACTCATGGTCACGATTATTTACTTGTAGTAATCTACACCACTCAATGGCATGTTCCATGAAGGCAAGGACAGGTCTGTCCTGTGTGCCACTGCATCCCTCCTGCCGAGCACGGCTCCTGGCAAGTCACAGACACATCTTAAATGGCTGGAATTAGCTTCATGGGCATGTGACCCATGCAGTCCCACAGAAGAGCCCAGGGCTCGGTTTGGTGCCCTGCTGTTGTCATCCTGAAATTCTTAATAATTTCTGAACAAGGGCCCCCAGGTTTTCATTGTGTATTGAGCCTTGTAGTTATGTAGTGCATCCTATAAATTACTATTAATTATATAATTGCTATTAATTATGATTATCAGAAATGATCAGCATTAATATTGACTTTTAAAGACTAAAAGCCAAGGGACCCACAGAGTAAATTATTTTTTAAATCAGCTATTCCCAAGGTCTCTGAGCAAGTTCACGGCTAAGCGGGGATTAAGGCAAGGGCTCCTTGCTCACATGTGCAGTGCCCTTTCCCTGTGGAGAACAATCTACTTCAATATCATGCCACTTTACACATTACCAAATAAACTGCATAAACTTATTTTTCATGGGATGGACTTCAAACCAAGAACTATAAAAATATCAAATGCCAACATTTCACAGCTCAGCCTGGAGCCACTTAGATAGTTTTGGAAAATATCTTCATACCCTACACTCACTGAATGATGCAAATTTAGTGTTTTCTGTGTCTTCGTAGATCATCCTGAAAATGTGCAAAAAAGAAGGACCAGATCAGGAACCGTCCAAGGCAAGTGATCAAACTAGGAAGTTTGCAGAAGCCACAGTCACCAACACAGGCAGTGAGACCACCACACCTCGCCTGGGAGCCTCACTTCCTGCCACGGGGCTAAGCCACCTCCACCCCCTGGCAGGGCTACTGCTGTCCTGGGCGGGACACCGGAACTCGTCCCTAAAACCAAGTGGACTTTGTCCCCTCCTTAGTAACAGGGGAAGCTGAACTCTCTCTCTGAAGCCCCTTCCAGCTCTGAAGTCCTGTGTTTCTATGATGACACATAATAGCAATCTTTGCTAACTCTTCTAGATGCTAAAGACGAAGGGCCACAAGTCTCAAAAGGTTCAAAAGACAAAAGAGATCAAGTGTTGAAAGATATATGAAAAGCCTAAATTTGTATATCACAGATTTCCTATTTACAAAAACATGTTAATATTCTTTCATATTTCATAAAATAGCCTGTACTTTTGCTAATAAAAGTTCACCAGAAATTCTTAAGACTGGATATGATATACTACACTGCCACTTTCAACACAAAGAACTACAAAATGTGTCGGGTAAGCAGTGCAAAAGCGAGAGTTCAATAGTGGGGTCATGAGCAAACAACCTCACCTGATTCTCAGTTCCCTTAATCTGTAAAATGGGAGAGTCACATCTAATTTTCAAGGCCACTGTGAGAATTTAATAAGATTAAGAATGCTGAGAGCCAAGCACAGGGCCTGGCATGTTCTAGGAACCTAAATGTAAACCAGGAGCCCTCCCGACTCTTGCCACCAAATGTACCTGTGCAATTATTTATTTCTAAAGTTAATTTTGCAAACAAAAAGAATAAAAAGTATTCTGTATTTACTTTCAGAGCATCTTTTTTACTACCTTCTTCTTCTTGATAAGAAATGTCAACTCAGGCATCACACTTCCTGATGTCTAAATGTATGAAAAACCTACAGTAATCAAAATAGTATCGTACTGACATAAAAACAGACATTATGGACCAATGGAACAGAATAGAGTCCAGAAATAAATCCACACACTTATGGTCAACTAACCTTTGACAAGGGTGTCAAGCACACAATGCGGAAAGGATAGTCTCTCCAATAAATGGAGAATGAGACTGGACCCTTATCTCACACGTATACAAAAAATCAACTCAAGATGAATTAAGGACTTAAATATAAGACCTGAAAGTGTACAACCACTAGAAGAAAACACAGGGGAAAAAACGTCTTGACATTTGCCTGGATGATGATTTTCTGGAAGTGACATCAAAAATTCAGGCAACAAAAGCAAAAACAGACAAGTGGGATTGAATCAAACTAAAAAGCTTCTGCAGAGCAAAGGAAACAATTACCAGAGTGAAAAGGCAACCTGTAGAATGAAAGAAGATATTTGCAAACCATATATCTGATAAGGGGTTAATATTCAAAATATACGAGGAACTCGACTCAACAGCCAAAAACCAAATAACCGGATTCAAAAGGGGGCTGAGACCTGAATAGACATTTTTCGAAAGGCAGACAAATGGCCAACAGGCATACGAAAAGGTGCTCAACAACACTAATTATCAAGGAAATGCAAATCAAAGCCACAATGAGATATCACCTCACATCTGTTAGGATGGCTATTATCAGGAAGCCAAGAGGTAAGTTGTTGGTAAGGATGTAGAGTAAAGGGAGCCCTTGTGCACTGTTGGTGGGAATGTAAATTGGTGCAGCCATTATGGAAAACAGTATAAGGATTCCTCAAAAAATTAAAAACAGAACTACCATATTATCCAGCAATCCCTTCTGGTATATACCCAAAGGAAATGAAATCAGTATCTTGAAGAGATATAAGCACGCTCATGTTCACTGCGGCATTATTCACAACAGTAATGATACAGAAACAAACTAAGTGTCTATCGATGGATGAATGGATAAAGAAAATGTGGTATGTATATATATATATATATATATATATATATATATATACATACATATATATATATATATATATATATATAAACACACAATGGTATAGTATTCAGTCTTTAACAAGAAGGAAATCCTGCCATTTGTGACACCATGGGTGAATCTGGAGAACATTATGGTAAGTGAAATAAGCCAGATACAGAAAGACAAATATGGTATGATCTCGTCCATACGTGGAATCTAAAAGAAGTCTAACTCATAAAAGCAGAGTAGAATGGTGGCTTCCAAGGGCTGGGAAGTGGGGGAAATGGGGAGATGGTGGTCAAAGGGTACAAAGTTTCAGTTATGCAGGATAAATAAGTTCTGGAGAGCTAATGTACAGCATGGGGACTACAGTTAATAATACTGTATTGTACACTGGAAATTTGGTAACAGAGTTGATCGTAAGTGTTCTCACCCCCACACATACACACAGACACACACACACAAATGTAACTAGGTGAGGTGATGGATATGTTAATTAGTTTGATTATGACAATCACTTCACAACGAATACGTATATCAAAACATCATATTGTACACCTATAATTATATACAATTTTTATTTGTCAGTTATAACTCAGAAAGTCAGGGGAAAAAAAGAAATTCCAACTCAAAGAATATCAACTAACTTTATGGTTAATGTCCCTCTATAAACAGGACATCCAAACATATAACTTCTATCTATACTTTGATCACTATGTTCTGATGGTACATGTCACACTGAATTGCACTAATACACCTTCTTATTTAAATCAACTTAATAGGGACTATTTCCTTCACCTTTGAAATAAGAATACCAGCCATTCTATATCTATTTTACCAGAACATTACTTAATTATTTTCTTAAGAACAAATCAGTAAAGTGGTTTTGAAAGATATTGGAGAAGCTCCTAAATGACTGTTCCTTGAAGGCACAGAGAGAATTTTGGTGGTCTTTGTATCTCATCTGGAACTATCTTTTTAAATGTTATTTATGCTGCAGGAAAAGCTAGCATCAGAGTTGTAAAATCCACGTACTGTGAGGTATAATTTAGCGACGTTAGATGTAACTGACTACAAGACTGTCGCTGAACAGCGTCAAAGTCAGACAACTGAAGTTCTGACATGAAAATATCATGAAGGCAACAAACGGCAGATGTTCACATTGCACTTTTTGAATGTACAGTGTTTGATAAGAGCTGACATTTGTGGGGCATGGCAACAGACAGGCCTAGTGCAAAGGAACTCACATGCACTGAATCCTCAAGACCCCTGTTTGTGGGCGAGCCCGCTCTCACTTCTGCTTCACCGATGGGGAAACTGAAGGGAAGAGAGGTATGGTAGCTTTTGCCCAGGGTCTCGAAATCCAGGGCACTGAATTTCAGAGCCCAAGCTCACAGCCAACTAGACTATAAAAAGGTGTTACATTTTAAGAAAAGTCCATCTAATTATTTTGGCAGAAAGGCAGCACGCGGTTTGCTACTGCACACAAATGTTCTCAGAGCCAAATCAATATTTTCTCTGTAAGATAATCAGATTCATTTTGTAAGTAAATAAAACCTATCATAAGGCACCTAGGTAAAAATCAACTTAACTTCTCTGTAAATCACTGAATAATCCAGGAAATGGACAAATGATTTTCATGTATGAAAATCATTACATTAATGAACGGCATTCTTTCATAGTTCTTGTGACCCACAGAAACATGAAACGCACATTATCCACTTGAAAATTTGACCGTGTCCTTGCAAGCTGCCACCTCTATAGAAAACCCACAGGATGAGAGAAAAGGCTTTGGGGAGGAGAAACCATTACATCTGAAGATCAGCAAATACATCGGCCCATCAGTTGCGGATCAAGTTTTCTGAGGCTTGTCATTTAAATCTGCATGACTGTGTTGTGTTCAAGATACGACGAGCCAGGGCAAAGTCCAGTTCCTCAGTCACGACACCAAGGCCGTTCAAACATTCCCTCTTGATTCTTGAAAATGGATCTATTTCATCTGGGGGATAATCACCGTGGGGGTCAACACCTGTACCACTAGAAAGTAAATCTTGTCAAGTGCCCGCTCTTCACAGGTGCCTGGGATGTCAAACAGGAAAAGGCTTTTCCCTCCAACGTCTTGTCTTGATTGATTTATAGAAAACAACATTACAAGAACGCTCCAGTGGCGTTTTTCAGGAAAGCCTTCACGAAGAATGTCGGCAGAACAGCACATTTCAATGAGAAGACAGACAATATTAAACTTCAGTTCTTCCAGATAAACCTCCACGTAAGAAATACAGCCTCATATGTCAACTCCCCCAGCACTTTCACACATGCAAAGAATGGCCCCAAATCCAATTGTTAAGCAAACTAGAAACATTTATTGGGAAAGCACTTTAATCTTACCTGAAAAAGAGTTGATGTCACTTGTTTCTTGGATAGATGACTCTGCACGTGTTCTACAGCTTGCTTTGAGAATGGCTTTTAAAAATCAAAAAAACAATGTTTTTGCCACAAATATAAAACAGAGCAAACCTCTGTATGGTTTACAATATCAAACATAAAATTTAACACAAAAATTACTAAGCAGTAACCTACAGGGACTCCATCAACACGCATTCTTTAAAAAATCTGTTGGTGGTCTGCGGGCAAGCCAAACAGACGACTGCTCCTCTGAGCTTCCAGAGTTCTTAGATACCATGTCAAGAAGGATGCTGTGCCCAGGGGCATCCAACTGACATACCTAATCCCACAGGAGATCAAGATGACTTCGATTAAAAAAAGCTGTAAGGGGCTTCCCTGGTGGCGCAGTGGTTGAGGGTCCGCCTGCCGATGCAGGGGACACGGGTTCGTGCCCTGGTCCGGGAAGATCCCACATGCCGCGGAGCGGCTGGGCCCGTGAGCCGTGGCCGCTGAGCCTGCGCGTCCGGAGCCTGTGCTCCGCAACGGGAGAGGCCACAACAGTGAGAGGCCCGTGTACCACCAAAAAAAAAAAAAAAAAAAAAAAAAGCTGTAAGGAATCGTATTATCACCTTATTAAATGCATCATCCCTCAACTGGCTGATACTGGGGTCCTAAAAATGTAAAATTTATATTATATGAGAGAAAGTGAATGCATGAAAATATACATAAGAATTAAATGTCAGGACTGCAAAGCTAAATCACAGTGTTGAAAAGACTCTAGGTTAAGGAAAATCTTGCTGTAACCACAGGGGAGAGGAATTGGTTCTAAAACAATGAAACTCACACTGACAAAAATTACACACTGTCCTCCCCCAAAACTTCAAATTACGTCTGCAGCAATGCACAAGAAGAAGAGCTTAAAAAGCATATCACACCGCTAAAAACCCTCTAAATTGTTGACCTATATGAAAACTACGTTTACAGAGGCATTCACAGTGAACACCTGGCATTTACCAAGGTTCAACCACTCCCCAGCAAGGTAGCAAGGCACAGAGCATTACGATTAACTCTAGCTCAGAGGTTCAGTAAGCACTGTAGACAACACAAACACAGAAGCACGAACATATATCATTGTCATGACCACTGCTGTCCAGTCAGGCTCCCTGCAATGCTGGAAATGTGGTGAACCTGGGCTGACGCAGGAGCCACCAGCCACGTGTGGGTATTGAGCCCTTGAAATGTGGCTCATGAGGAATTAAACTTTTAATTCCATTTCGTTTTAATTAATTTAAACAATTTAAATACCCACATGTGGCTAGTGGCTACTGCATTGAACACAGCAGCCCAGGGCTCTTAGGGTACTCCTTTGGAAAACAGTCTTCATGTAGAGAGAGTACATGGTAAATTTTCATTATTAATTATTCCACTCACTACTGGTGGAATAATTTCCTAGGAACCCAGTTTATCCTAATGACTGAATTAGACTGTTTCTCTGATTTATCAATACAAGGGAAAAAAATGGTTTCAACCATCATTCAACTATTAATGAACTACATTAACACAATAATTACAATCCTTCTTATTAATTCAAAGAAAGCATTTAAGATTTTTATTGATCAATATATGATTAGCCTAACTGTTAAAGGAGAGCTAAATGAAAAACAATAAGCTTAATTTCCTTTAGAAAGTCTAGAATTGAGGTTGGCTTTTTCTTCCATTGATCTGCATTAGCCATTTTATCAATGTTTGGAGTCAAAGTATCCACTTTTGGAAACATACCAAGAGGACATGGAGCTACAGATACTGGATCCCTATTATCAGGAAACAAATGACAAAAACAGAATAAATGGGTTCCATCCTGGATGAATATCATTTAATTTTTAAACCTCTTCCACCTACTTTACCTTTCATTCTGGAAATGTTTGAAGGCTGTCTCATATTTACCCATACTAAAGTAATAAAACAAAGAGATACTTACATGTGAACAAGACAGCAACTCCTTCATGATGTAAGTATCATAAATTTGTCGACTTCTACAAAGGCGATCTTCCTCATTCTCAAGCTTTTCATATTCTTTTATCTGGATGGTTAAAAGTTACCATTGTTAAGTACTGTCTTCCTAGAAACTTACTTTATTGAAGGATATTACTAGTCTTGGCAGAAACCACTCGCACATGAGATCAAGCAAATTACTTGAATCGGCCATTCCACAGGAAACAACTATTTCTAATGTTGTAATAATGAAGTTGGAATAATTTAAATTCAACTTGGAACATACGAATGGATTTTTTCCTATGATGAACCTTGTCGCTTAAATTTAGAAACACAATATTAGGAAACAAATACTGCCATGGTTACAATTATCTTAACGATGCACCAGCCACGGACCATTCATCCTTGCCAAGTCTCCTTTCCAAAGCACAAATAATTTAAATTTGTCTGTAATCCAGTTCTAAGAGTTATGATGGGGCTCGTTCTCACTCAACCTCAGTGTTACAGAATTCAGGAGGAAAAAATAATAATAAATTGCTAGGATTCCTGCAAAGAGATGTTTAGAAATCAACTAAATATTTTGGAAATGCATTTACCATAGATAAAAGCATTGGTTTTTCACACTGGAACCTTCTCTGCACTCTAAAAGTATTAACAGAAAGGCTCCTTCAAATTGTATGTTTTGCCAATAACTTAAGGGAGGTAACCTGATGGGTGTTAAGACAGACCAAATAATAAAATGAGCTCTGGAAATATTTGCTTTATGAGGACATGGCCCCTATTACTCCAACCTCAAAACAGAAGTTCTCAGGTCAGAGAAGTATTTTTATTTATTTACAGAAATACATTTAATCTAAAAGACAAGAAGAGAATGAAAACACAAATGAAATATGGAGCTGGTAGGAAGACTGTTGCAAAGTTTTTCAATATAATGACTAATAACTACACAGAACTTATTTTTGGAAAAACAAATGCTCCCACCAAGGAGACAGTTGTAATACTGACTTCCATGATATCTGAGTGCTCTTTATTCTGCTATGACAAAAAGTGGGACTGATCACTCCTATGGGAGAGAGTATAAACTGAATAGAAATAAAAGTGACCTTTTTTACTGTACAGTCTAACAGTTTTGAAATCAAAACCAGTAAATCCTATGAAAATTTCTGATAATGCAAGGGCACGGTCGGCAGGGAGAGGAATATGTACAAGGCTGACGTCCTATACGAAGGCTTAACTGGTTCACACACAGAAAAATTCTGGGATCATCCTGATTGCCCTTAAATATCATCAGTGAGATGGCTGAAATTCACAAGTCTGTAACTGCCTGGGCTTAGAATGGAGTCTTCTTGGAACAGACACTAAAATTTAACAAAAAGGCAAGAGGACCAGGGCAGGTTGATACCCCATCCAAGAGGAAAACACTTTAAAAAAATTTTTTTATTTTAAAAAAATTTTTATAGAAATATAGTTGATTTACAATGTTATGTTAGTTTCAGGTATACAGCAAAGAGAT